TACTGCAGCAACTAGCGAGCGAATATCGAGATTCGAAGAATCAAGAAGGGAATGGGACAAAACAGTCCAATGACTGTTTGTTGAGCAATATGTTCGTTAGGAGGAGTGCCTCATAACAAGAGTGTGCAGTCGCTGGGCGTGTCTCCTGCATTTCAAGTGGAATCACAAGATTATGTAATACCTCTGACGTAGGTGTGTCTGATGAAGTCAGTACACGAATAGCAAAAGCCCCAATCTTGTTTGCTAATTTGCGTCACTTGTGGCGTCAAAGTGGCATATCACCGCGTGTACCACGCTACAGTAAGGGTCGTATTGTTATATTGTTTCGAGAAATGGCGTTCGCCTTTTGACCACCGATGTCTTAGAATGGTTGCTGGCGTCAACGGATTAATAGGGATGCAATTAGAAAACGCGTATTTGGTTGCGCAACAGGTACTTCAGTCGAGGAGAACACCCAGCAACATGAACTGCGGTCATTTAGTACGCATGCGATAGGATAGCAAGAGATCCCTGCTCCATTCAGTCCTTCCTCTTTTCTTCGCTTTGAGGCTTTAAACAGAATTAAATAAACGTGGTTTCATGGTATCGAATCGTCGATATCATCACCGATACTGCTGTCTCGTCGTTAGGAATGGTAATGACTGGTGATGAGCTATTCACAATCGAATATGGCTCGATACATAACATAGACCAGTTACTTTTCAGGTGTATTATAACTCCCTACTCCCCTACCTAGGCTTAGGCAACCTGGCTGTACCCCAGCCCTCGTGTTTCTTTTTGATGGCATGGCAATGAGGCATCGAAAAGGTGCCACAGCTGATCCATCAAGAACGTTCCAACTAAGGTCAGCTGAAGTTTACAAATCAAGTTCCTTACATATTGTAAGCAATTTTCACGGCATATTTCGCCTTAGCTAATTGCAAATATTACGATCTACAGCTGTGACCAATCTATTTACGGGTGAGATAAGTGCAAATCAACTGAATTGCTGAATTTCAGGCGAGACTATTGGTATTCCCTGGTTTCGTTTGGTTTCATGTTATCTTTGAATTTCTGCAACGAGATGTTGGAAGACATGCTCGATTTTTCTCGAGAAATGCGGAAAACTTCAAACAGTTTAGTTTAGTTGGGTTTATCGGCTGTAAACCATGTGTCAAAGGTTTTTTGGTTCCAGGTGCCACAATTTCATTCACCTAAAAATGAGGGGACGATATTGCCGAAGTATTGGTGACGGTGGCACAATTCGTTGGCTCGTATTGTATATTGCTCTGATGGAACGGGGAATTCGGTAGCTACGAATCGGAAGCTATAGCTTTGATGTAGGAGTGCCACTGGCTGTGATCTGGCCTTGTCTGCAAGTGTCATCCACCTTTGGTGGGTTGAACACCGGAGGGATGGCAGTCGTTAGTCCGACTGAGTTTACTAGTCATACACCACCCGCAGCTTGGTCACTCCCAGGGCTGAGTGAAAAGAGCTCAGCGATTCATACGGTTCTCCGGGCGAACTATATGTCATAACCAGCGTAACCTATGGATGGTGAGTAGCTCATTCGTCGGGAAGAGTTCCTATTTCTCGAAACCATCTGGTGTACCTCAGCACTACTAATCCGATGTTGCACTCTTTTTGAAGATTGGGTCACTGTCGGGGCACTATATTCCACTGTCATTCTTTTTTCCTTCCAATTCTTCCGTAGTGAGGTCTTCAGGATACTTATAGTGATTTCCTCACCTCTTCTGAAAAGTGCGCGGCACAGACCATTCGGGTCGGCTGCCTTGTCGCATTGGATGAGCGACATTTCACCATGGCATCAATAAGACCTGATCCTGATGGTATCCAGTGTTCATTTGGTTGAGTTGGATAGCTTGAACAGCTTTAAAAGTTGTGTATATATGTTGTTCTGCTCATTTCTATCCAACCTTCGGTCAATCTTCATCAACATGATTACATTTCCAGCAGCTTCCCAGCCAGATCAGCGTGACACCTTTGAGCTACTTAAACTAGTCGAAGTTTATCAGTGGAATTCCTTTGCTTCGGCATCCCTATTGCTGACGAATAGCGAAGTGATAACGGAGCCCGAACAGAGGCATGATCGGAGTCAACTTGCGTACCTTAGAACGGCGATGTTTGAATGCGGCTCTCCATCGGCAATTGATAGCCGCCTAAGCCCATGGCTGGCTTGTGATTGATTGGTGGTCTCCAAGTAACTTAATGTGAGCTCCTGTGCCTGAAGTCCGTACTGGCCAGGAGCAGACGATGTTCAGTGTACAACTGAAGGAGTTGCTCCCCAGTATCCGTACACTGAGCATTGACTCCAAGTCTACCACCTAAATGCTTCTTCCGGCCGTCATCCAATTTGGCCCGCCAGGATAACCTTATCCGTTCTTCCGGCCAACTGAAGCAGATCTGGATGTAACGCATCATTCGCAGCTTTCGAACTGCTGTTTATCGGGGCGTATGTTGACACGACAAATAAACCGCCTCACATACTGATCTGGAAGACAACCGTAATCGTTCAGCTGTAACACCTTATCGGTTCCCAACTGTCTTGCCATCTGAAGGAAGTACGATGGTTGGGTTAGTGCCAGGTTGCCCAAACCCAGACAGGAGAAGTCGAGATGTAGAGGCCGGGTTCGAACCACGGACCCTTCGGTCAGTAAACTCGCGTACTAATCACTGAGCCATATCGCTCCAAGACAACCGTGTGGCTCAAAAGCGCCTTTACTGGGATCCAGCCAAGTAAAGCGCTTTCGGTCGTGGAGCTGAGTGCACTTCTCTTATCTGAGGTTTCACGAGTCATTGTGTCTGGATCGTAAAGTACCAGAAAATTCTGAAACATCTGCGGTCGTCCTAGGCGGCTTGGGAAACATGACTGATTTGGGGGTCTTCTGTACATGCCAAATGCATCAACAGAAAGGAGAAGCAAAGTTTCGACAAGAGACGCCTGTCGCCCAATTTTGCATGGAGTGCGTACATTGGAGGTGGTAACTTGGATCAGATCTTTTGAGTTTGGTGAGGGATTATTTTTGTTTATTTTGCTGGGCGTTCGTTTAGACACGGGACAATGGTTAGGCTAGTGGTAGATGAACTGGCTACAGTGCACCATTTAGTGAGTAAGGACGAGGGACGTCAGTGAGGGCCGGTGAACGGAGAGCTGCAAACGTGCATCTCTGCCTATTGCGTGAGTCTGTAGACCGTAAACTACTGAGTGGTACTGCCGTTAAAGCACGTTCATTCCTTAATAAGCGTTAAGGCGTAATGTTCTGCATGGTTAGTGCTGCACTCAAGTCTGCGAAAGTACCATGAAACGAAGCATTACCTTAGCATGTACAAGTTTGTAAAGTGTACCGAAAATTGCACCTCCAGATCCTGTCAGATAGTTTTCTCTGGCAATTTCGCCCTCTAATCTATCATCCCTGAAAGTACCAAGACCTCATATGTAGCAGTATTCCTCCGAACCGTACGATGTTCATAGAATAAATGTTCGTAGAAATAAGGCCTTTGAAAATCGCTACCCGGCTTTTCGTGGTCTGTACCAACTAGTTGTAGTACTGTTATGGTGTCAGATTATTTTCGTGCTTTTTTCAGGTGTTCGATAGCGTTTTTCCCCGTTTCGTTATTCATAACGATAAGGCGCACCCTATCTTCAACAAATCAAATGTCAAGCTATATTCTCATTGCTTTTACAACACATTCTCAGCGGTGGGAACTTTGAACTACAACTGACTAGACGTTCCGCTTGCATATATTTAATCCCAAAAACTTTTTAGAACACTATAGAAGATACAGTTTCTAGGAAGTGTTACCTTCATGTTTAGAATAATGACGTCCTTGTAAGTATGACCATTTGTGTGAATGCCCCGATGGGTAAATCAGTGACTCCAGTTGAAACAGTTTTCTCGATAAGTATTGCTTTTAGCTCGCTATCCGAAACGGTCGAAACTACTGAAGTGAACCAAGGGAAAATCAAAGTTTGCATACTATCATTACATTCAGTTCAGTTTTAGTTTGCATCAAATTCGCATTGAAGCCAGTGAAAGTCCGTGTCTCGCTGTGAAGGTGAACGTTTTTCTTGGTCTGAAAATCATACCTGTTGGAAACGAATTCATATGCACTATGACTTCACATAGAAATCCCAAAACATGAGCTCCACATCGTTTTTTGGGAGGGAAATTCGCCCATCAGGGAGGGTTTGTATGAAGAACTAGAGTGTGGGCTTCCAACTGTATCATTTTCAAACAAAGTCGTACTAGATTGGAGTGAAATCTCAATTTGGGAGAACTTAATCTGCTATAGTTTTAACTAAAGCTTGGCAACAGTTAGATAGCGGAACAGTATGGTAGTAGTCGTTCTTCACTACAACTTCAACAATAAACAGGTGATAGATGTTGACTCTGAACTACCTCATGGCCTTTGTTTCATGGTCGTATGAAGGCGATATGGGACAAATAGGTGCTTAAACCAAAACCCGATTCCATGTTGATGGCGGTCTGCGTGAAGCTGCCGGAGTATTGTAGCCTCCTAACCACTTCCCTTCAACAGAAGAGAAGTCTATTTATCCATTGGATTCATTGGATTTGCTCCCCTTCAACAGAGTAGGAAGGAATAATTACAAACTGACGTTCGAATAAAAAGAGGGTAGGAGCAGCGATTTACTGCGTGGCAGAAAAGATGTGCATCGATCTAGCTGAGAATTGGGAATCATTCAGTTAGGGATACCTTAGGTGAGAGTTCCACTACTGGGGTCGGAATCTGAACCCATGGTAGATGGCGTCCACCATGAAGTTCTTAAAACGCCTATTTTCTTACCAGCATGCAGTCCGATATTCGAGAATATTTTCACTCACCTGCCAGGTTTGCACAACTTTTCATTGGAGTTCATTCACACCTTGTGTTGAGTTGGTATAGGACTTTACAATAATAGTGTATTCGATCACCTATCCATCAAATACCTAGACATCTAACACTTACTCCATAATCTACTTTTCTTTTTTCTTCTAAAGTTCTGGTCCTGTGGTACAGCAGAATGTGTCGCACAGTTCCAACGCGTCCGTCACATCTTCCCGTGTCCGCCACAAGAATTCCGCTACGGTCAGGCGACTGGACTCTGGTATGTATTGCTATAGTTTGTTTCTCCTACATACAGGGCTTTAGTTGACAGCTAATTTCTTACTCGCTTCACGTATGGTCACTTTGTGATGAACGAACCGAACGCTTTTGAGAGAGAAAACGTGGGCTGCTTGCTAGCAGTCTTGTATTTTTTGGAAATATTATAATCTTGCAACACGAGGTTGTAATTTACATTGTACCTAGTGTGATTTGTTGTAGTGCAGACGTCGAGAGTGCAAATGCCACTTTATTTGAAAGAGTCGTTAAATTGGCAAAGTATTTTTTCGTTCAAATGAATCCGGTGATAAGCACTTGTGCCAGGTAAATATTGTAGTCAGCATAAGGAAAGTTTCTGGAGCCTATGCATAACTCCCACGGACTTTGAAGGTCGCCGTACACCATACCCGGCTTCGAGTAGCCTTGAGAATCTTTCCATCAGCCTATCCATTAGTGTCGAGCGTTTTGCATGGAATGCCTATAAAGTTGGAATCCAGGATTCGGAATTAGGAACATCTCTTCTGACCTTGACCCATCGATGAATGCAGGATTGTGCAATCGTAGCCTATTTTTATCATCATTTTGGGGGTGTATTTCGGGTCAGTGAAAAGTCGAAGCTGGAACACAATCGGAAGTATAGACTTTTCAACCGACTGATGCCCTTGTGCCTTACATTCGTTGCGAAAGATACCCAAAACCGCCAGAGGTGAGCGCTCACAGTCTATATTTTGTCTCAAGATCACTAAACTTATCTCGGCTAGCGTAGAGTTGGTTGTCGCATTGGCCGGACAGTATCTCCAGTCTGGTCCTCAAGCACTGTGGGTTACTTGGCTGCTCGATTTTAACTATGAACTTTGGCCATATCGTTGCCTTCTTCTCTGCATTCCACAGCTAGCATCCAACGGCTGGATTTGCCTCAAGTTTCCAAGTCGGGTAAAAAGCGAAAGCCTAAGCGGGGAATGAAAGCGTTGCGGGAAATTCGTGCGTACCAAAAGAGTACTGATCTGCTAATATGGTAAGCTGTCGCTCTTCTTTCTTGTACTGCTTGCTATGCTGGATTGTTCCCGATGTGATCTGACTGCTTGTTTGTTAGAAAGCTGTCTGTGTCCAAGGCAGGAACAAACGGATTCAGTTTGCGAATCAGGCAAACGAAACGCTCGCGGATTACTTTTTTGGTCAACCATTCGCAACTAACTAGCCACATTCAAAGGGAATCCGCGAAGGAATCCACGAAATATGAACTCTTGCCTTTTGCGCTCTGCATGGCATGCGTTAGCTTGGTGCTTCCTTTCGGCTGAAACAGCCCTGTTCTTCTGCCTGCGTATAAGAAGAGCGATAAGTCTATTTGTGATAAACGTGATACTTTAATAACCTTCCGCTGACGTTTGGCACGGTCATTCGAGAGACCCTGCGACGTGTAGTAGAACCAGACAATATCCAAACAAAATTGCCATGGCTGTGGGTAGTGTGCCACGCGGCTACTGGCGTACATTCATATGCATGGTGGAGAGCTGTTAAACAGCACTAGCTATTCTCAATGTTCAACTTCATACTTTTCTAGATAGTTCACCGGGGTGTCAACGTCATCGCGATGTGGTTGTTGGGCAGTATGTTGATCACACATACTAAATTTGCGCATGCTGTCGCTTACTTTACTACAAATCACAGTTTACAACAGTGTAACTCGCGCTGTCACAATCCATCCTTGTGAGTCCTTACAAGCATAAGCATCTAGGAGTGTTCGCAGGGAGCCAGTTTTAAGTCACCTTCCTTACCACTTTGTAATACTCTTTTTAAGGAGCATCTCCTCCGAGAAGAAACTCCTATCGGCATGGTGAACTTACTGGCAAGAGTTTTTCTTATCACAGTTCTTTCTCAAGGAAATAAACCCATCAGAGCCACAATCAAAATCCCCGGTGTAGTTGACCCAGATCTATAGGTGAACCGTAATTAAGTTTATGTCATCACTTAAATGTCATACTAGCCCGCCACATCGGCAATCTCTTCGTGGGGTGAATTTGGCGTACCTGCAAATGTAGCCCTGGGTGAACACGCAGCATCATTCGCCTGGATTGAGGGTGATAAATTTGAAGAAGAGTATGGAACAGCGTGCGATTTCCTAATAACTGCTGACATCCTGCGAAGTTTGATTGTCCTCTCTGTTGTATCGGAATAGGTTTTCATGTTAGGTGATCTCGTTTGTCCCTTCTCATCCGAGTTAAGCAAGCTGGGAAAATGCTCGTTCGTAATGGCTCAGATGACGGGAGGCGATGACTACTTCACTGGTTTGTCGCGTTGTGCTAGTGTGCGGGAATCATAGATATACAAGAGCTCTAGAAATGAGGAATATTTACCTTTGAGATGACGGAAACGTTTATCCCATTATCATTTAAACTGTACAGGACACCTGAGTGGATATTTTATATCTCGGAGAGATTTTGGTATTGTAAGACCTTGAATCTTCAGTACCAACTCTATTACTGTATGTCGTTGTAACCCATGCTGTGCACCTTACAGATACAAATGCCTTCAACCGGACAGACCATGCAACTGCGCTATTTCTACATGCTAAGCGCCACCATTTTTTCTTCGTTTTTCCCCTTTAATAGCAAGCTGCCCTTCGCACGTGTGGTACGAAGTATCGCTCTGCGCGTTCTTGGAGAAGATGCTGGCGTGTACCGATGGCAGGCCGTGTGTATTTTAGCCATTCAAGAGGCTGCTGAAGCGCTACTGGTTTCCCTAATGGAGTCTTCAATGAAATGCGCTGCGCACGCCAATCGAGTGACCTTGATGCCCAAAGACATCCGATTGGCCGCCGAACTACAAAATATACCCACTCCCTACACTTCTGCATCCCGACCGTTCTAGAGATATTCTCTGATCCGCTTTCCCAGATTTTGTTGTATTTATTCCTTACCTACCGTCTTTATTTCAGTAAATAAAATGTACGGGATTGTGTTGCGACAGAAAAGCCCCTAAGATTGCTCTGCTTTTTGCCATTCTCAACCCCTTGGTACTCCTTTGTAGTTTATATTCAAAATTGTTATTTCTGGAATCAGTCCAGTAATTTTTCTGTTAGAGTTTTACATTAGGAAGACCGGGCGATGTCGACCGAATTAGATAGGTGGCCGTATTTTGGTGAACGTAGCAGCTTATCTTTTATGATTGAAACTCGGTTATGAGGTCGCTTGAGAATTCTGTTAGATAGAGAGAGAAACATGCTGGAAGTGTTTCCTTAAGAAAATGCCCATAGCTGTGTTATCAGCTCGCCATGCTTGGAAAGTGCCAGTTACGGTAAGAGTTAGTGTGATTTTTGTTGGAGCGTACGCGATATGGGAATGGTCGTCATTTTGTATACAGAAGACGGTACTCCGAAATGAGGGTTTTAACCTAACAACAGAAGTGTATCACAACACCACAACGAGGTGTTGTATACAGTACCAATTGTTTAGGCCTTCCGTTTTCACTTAAATTTTGGAGCAAGTATCACCAAGCTCACCATTATCAAAACGTTTTATCAAGCATGTTGTGTGAGCATGAAAGGGATCGGTCACACGACATTTGGTGCGAACAGAGGTCAACTTGTCTGATACTTGGTGGACGGGTGTTAGTCACTTTGGAGTTATCGGATGGACTGTTAATTCAGGACCAAGAGACAGTTGTTGTTTTCCATCAGTCACAACTAACATTCCCTTGGGATAATGCTGTCCTGAACAGACATGATGTAGTCATTAGAGACGATCAAAATGATTTCATAGATATTTGCGCTCATGGTTTAATGGTATCACCCAAAAGAGCTCGAGATTCTACACGGGGCATTTACAATGTAAAAGGGTGTGGAGAGGAGTGGTAGGATACGCTAGCGTTCCATCAAGAATATTTGACCATTCCATATAGTGTTTTCCGTTTTGGGAGCCTTTGGACTTGAAGTTACATCTGCATCTCATCACAGTGAGGGTGTCTATTGATTTACCAGGCGCACACAAACCGTAAATCCTTTCATCGTCCAAAGCCATTCACAGACGGCAATGTTCGCCGAAAGCCGACGATCATCGGCGAAAAACTCTGGAAGCAAGCTGAAATCAATGAGTCCTTCGTGTACCACTCTACTGGTAAATATTGGCGTGGATGATTCCAATGTGCGCATATGGATCCATTCAAGAGTACATTGCTTAGTGATTCGCTCTACGTGGTGCGAAAGCTTGACTCCACCATCCTGTTATAGAGGGCATCGCAAAGCAGCTTTATCATCTGCAAAATAAACTAGACGACGTAGGCTGAAATCTTCACGTTTATAAATTGCTGGCTTCAGTGAATGGTGCACGAATGAATGAATTGTAATGTGTCCTAGAGGAGCGTCAACACTTGCATGGAAAACGCTACCTTTTTGAATTTTGGACAAAGACTGGTTTGTTGGCGGTGTAAGGAGGCTTGGTAATAAGTAACTCAGAGGAAGGGTGATTTCACAAGATAAGTGGAACTAACTTCTGCGAAGTCATCGCTCGAGGAGTCAGTCAATACGTGATCATGTGATGTGGTCCTCGTCATTCGAGGATGAGTGGCGCTACTTCCTATCTAAGTGTCAGCTAATCGCACTGCTGACCAGCTTCTCTTGGCTGAATGGCCAAGTGTTCGAAATGCTAGCCTGGAGGTCGTAGTTTCGAAACTCCCTGGAGTTTCGTGAGGTGCGCATTGCTGACGACTCCAAGAAAGTTAAAACAGTTGTACAGTGCTTTCTAGCTTTTTAGCAGAAACTGGCTTCACTTAGACGGTAAAATCTCAATTGAAAAACAGGTTTATTGTTGCGTACTTGCTTAGACGATGACTCTTCTGTCAGTTTTTGTTGAACCGGAGGTATTTGCGGTTCCGGGGTTGCTTTCAGATTCCGCTTGGCCGAGCAGATTTCCTATTAACTAGCGATCCTGTGGATAAGGTTGGTGCTAGCCGATATTACCGGGGATGTAGGGAACTCATCTTCCAGGATACACTCGTAAGGAGCTTGTTCATCTGTCAAGGACAATATTCATTTATTCCACTGAACGCTGAAGAATAATTTTAAAAAGCCAGCGGGTTTATTGAAGCTATCTTCACTTGCTCCACTCCAGTCGAGCAGTGAGACGGGCTATCCTCAGGGGCATCGCTTTTTGAGGTGCCGATGCTATTTTCAACGTAACTACTAGAAAGTCTCTATGTGACACTAAATTTTCCTAACCCCTTCGCAAAAACGTATCATACTGGAAAGCGTGTAAAATATCCTCGTTGATAGCAATTTCTGAACTAATCTCCAAGTAACGAGGACAGGTCACTAATGGATTTGAAAATGATTTAAACCGCCTTATCGGCTCTCGCCCTCAGTAACTAATCCGTTCTTGAAAGTATAGCGCCCAGAAAGAAACGTGCAGCTGATGGGTGATGCTCGCGTTTGTTTAGACTAAGTATAGTATGGCGTCTCAGAGTCAACAAGCGAAATAGCTCATAGGACAGGATCGGTTCACTCAAAATGCATCTTCGTTCATGCCAAGTTAGCAATTGCAAGTAAACAGTGAAGGATGCTGGTTTTCTATAGAGAATGATGAAGTTGGATGGTTTTCAGGCAGATTATTAGTTTGAATTTGATTGAGGGAGATCTCATACATTTTTTGGATCACATCGCGGCGACAGGAATTAAGGTGAATGGCTTTCGACACAGTGAGTGATCTTCCTTTGATTCCGGAAGTAAGAAGGAACATTTTTTCCAGTGTTTTCCAAACCGAACAAAGCTACGACAGTCTCTTTGGTTTCGGAGGAAAGAACTCGCACAGTAAGTTCCATAGGTTCCGCTGGCTTGGTTAAGTTGACGGATTTCCTCGGACATTGTTCTCATATCGCCACGCGGAGAGTGGAAATGTACCAAAAGAGGCCAAACAGTGAATCGGCCGCGAAACATGTACGCTAGTATCGGAAAACTCGGCTAGGCTGGTCACTGGCGTCTATTGGAATCAGGACCCCGAGAAGGGACACGTAGATAGACTCATTGGCGTTAATAGCCTAATCGCGCCCTTGGTGACGCGCATGGATTCAAGCTACTGTCTTTAGTGCATCTTCACACTGAAGGATCCGCCGTCGTCTGATTCATGTGTCAACGATATCAGCTACTGCGTTCACTGTGGAGCTATCCATACCTATTTTCTGTGGTGGTTGGAACAACTGTGCAACGCGTATACAACATGCACAGCCGATGATGATGAGGCTCGGACGACGACGATCATGTTGATGATAAGGACGAAGATCATGGTGACGATTATTGATTACGCCGATTATGGTGATTTTTAGGAATTTTAGGTATGGCAATAAGTCGTGTCAAGAAACTCTCTTGGAGTCAACCAAGTTGACAGGTATATTCCTAAGGAGCTACTCACCACATCCTACCAGCCATACGAACGTTCAAAAGAGCAGGGCTGTTACTACCAATCGGAAATTGGCAATTAACCCTAGTCGTAATGTCATTCTTAATTGACATTGGTCAGCAAGTTTACGGGGAAAAGGGAAGACTCAAAGACATCAGGACGGCAGTTTGTCCATTATTTGTTCATAGCCACACCACTCTCGTTTGAACGGCCGTGTTCCTGTTTTGGCGTAATTATTCCGGTGAGTCCACACCAAAGGCAAGCACTGGACTCAAGTTTTGCTCTTATTATAGCTCACCAGCAGTGCATATCCAATGGCCGTGTCGGGATTTGAACCCCGGACATCTGACACGCGAGGCGAGCGTGTAACCACCACCCTGCCAACGCACGTTGGGCGCATCTGAATTATCACGTCTGAACAGGCGAACGTGTTCACACTTGAGCGATGTGATTGGTGTGCCCGACTCATCGAACGACGACCCAGTGACTGTTCTGGTTGTGACGATCGATTGACCCGCCAGTCAGGACTTCCCAGTTAGGTAGCGTGGCACACGTTTGAAACCATCTGGGCAGATTTGTGGTTGCAATTTTGGGGTTTTGCGGGATAGGTACTTTGTTCATAGCCACACCACTCTCGTTTGAACGACCGTGTTCCTGTTCTGGCGTAATTATTCCGGTGAGTCCATACCAAAGGGAAGCACTGGACTCGGGTTTCACTCGAGTCATTATTCCAATCTACTGACGAAAATGCGGAAAAGACTTTGACCAAGTAACTGACTGTCTTGTTGCAGACGATCGTATTCTTGACGAGCAACTGATACCTGTGAAAGGTATTGATCGCTTTCACTCGCTCCGGCATCCACCCGGATTTGAACTGTCCTATCTCTACTGAGCCCTCAACGCTCGGTTTCTCAGGTTAAGACTTGTTTCCATTACTCTACTGAGGTCATTCTGAAATACAGACAAAAAGATTCAATTGGCACACAAATTGTGCAGATATTTCCGATCACCTCTGATGCAGTAGCAACATAAGTTTTTTATACTGTGCGCAACCCAAAGATTCCGAAACTTGAGCGAAATTCCGACTAGTTCTAGGACCTGGAAGGAAGGGTTTTATGTCTGATCGTTTTGCCATTCAGGATAAGAGCAAACTATGAAAACTTGCTGGACTGACCTGATCAGCTTCTTGGTGCCAAAACAGTTCGTCACGGAACAACGAGTCCATCCAACTACTTTAAAATCACTTCTATATGAAAATGCCTGCTTATTTCAAATTTACTTAGCCCACGGTGAATTTTAAACTATAAGTTAAGAAAGTACAACAAGAGATTATTTGCTCTTTTAGAGATCTAATTTCTGGCGATTTGAATAAATGAACTTAAACATCTGGAGGGGATCTAGCGATAACTACTCATAAGGGTTGCCGAAAACGCCTCGATAGCCCATGATCTGTTTCGCCCTTCTCGGAACTCATCAAGTTGTCGCAGTAGCATTTTTGTGTTATCAGTAGACAACAACCTATCTTGAATATCATACCAACTGAAACAGACGGTAAACTGCTGCAGCACATTCAGAATCATGAGCGAGAGATTTGATAGAATTCCGTTGAGTTTACCGTCAAAACCTGCTTCGTA